TTCACTTCGTGATACATGTAAATCATTTCCGATTTATATGTTCGTTCCCGTGATTTATAATTTACTATTTTACACTAGCTTAATAATCATTAATTACTAATGCTATGACTCATAATGACTAATCCTATGAGTCACTATTACAAATAATTGAATTAATAATAAAATAAGTTAAAAATAGAAATGATGTAATGTGTAACATGACGCAGTATGTGGCGTAGTTGTTACACAAAATATTAGATAAAAATAGAAAATGATGTCATTGTCACGTGGCTGCCACAGTAAGTTGGTTCCGATTGATCGACATGCTCGGGACTTCCCCAGTCCTTATTTACAATCTCACACCATGATTCTTCCATGATGTCATAAGATCAGGTTTTAAAGCATAAATTGCATAGCTGGTAACATCCCCATTTCCATCCATCATGAGTATCTGATTTTGCAGTTGGTCTTCCACAGTTGCAACAATGATAATTCACCCTTCTTGTTAGGCTGACCCATTCAAAATGTTCCTGGGCCTTTTGTTTCAACCATGTTTTATTGCATTTGCATTGTAACTGGTTTTCCCTATGATTTAGAAATGTAATTGATTCCCATCTTTTTAGTGGACTAAAATTGGTATTCTTCCTATGGTTAAGTGTGTTTGATATTGATTACTACTAGAACCCCCTTCCTCCAGATCATTTTCTTCTTCAGAAGATGCTCCCAGGTTAATTTGTTGTGTTCTAGTGATAATTTTATTTTCCTCCACTACTGGTTGTTTATTTTTTCTTCTTTTGGTGTAGTAGTCAAGGCATCTTCATGAGTACTTATCTCAGGTGCAACCAATACTTGACTCAATTCTTCTATCAATAATTCGCACAGTATTTGTTTTTTTGGTCCCGGCTTTTCAGCCAGTACCCTTTTTGATAAAAATTTAATGATTGAGCTCATTTTTGTTTCTTCTGTTGTTGTCTAAGTTGGTCTCTTTGTAAACAATATTTTTCTAATAATATGAATTGGGTTGGTTGAAGGCATCTATATGTCCTTGGGCACATCCTGGATTATATTCAATTTTAAATGAGTATTGTTGTAAGTGTACTAGCCATTTCTGCATTCAATTATTTAAAACAAGTGTACTGAATTGATATTTTAATGGTTGGTGGTTGGTAAACTACAGTAAAAGGTTTTCCAAGCAAATATACATAAAACAGATCTGTGACCCATTTTACAGCCAATAGTTCTAATTCTGATCCTGAATAATTTTGTTGTGCTCCTACTAGTGCTTTACTAGCATAAGCAATTACTCCTATTCTCCCCTCAACATCTTTTTGTGCTAAGATAGCTCCTAATCCAAACTTGGGTCCATCTGTTGAAAGTATAAATGGTTTATTGAAATCTGGATGTCTTAAAATAGGTTCCTTTGTCAAAAGCTCTTTCAGCTTTTCAAACACTTCTTGACAGTCTTTAATCCATTTGATTGCATATCCTTCTTTATTAGTTTAAACATTGGTAATGCTTTTTCAAGAATCCTGGCATAAATTTCCTGTAGTAAGATGCCAGTCCCAGAAATGATCTAACATCCTTTACTGTTTTTGGTGTTGGCCAATTCTTAATTACTTCAACTTTCACTGGATCTAGTTTTTTGCCATCTTTTCCAATAATATGTCCCAGTAGATGTGGGTCTGATTCATTTTGTCAACAATCATTTTGTTGACAGTCATTTCACCAACACCCATTTTGACAAAAGTTTGTTTTGTCAAAATTTTGTTTTGTTGAAAGCTCATTTTGTTGAAAATTATTTCGTCACAAATAAAAAAACTTCATTAAACAAATTTCTCCTCACACTTCCCACTAAGGTTGCTTGCCAAAACTCATCCAGAAATCAATCAGCAGGGTTTCGGCAGGTCACACATTAATTGTTTATTAGAGTTTTGGCAGAGTTTCGCATTTTGAGGTTTCGCCTTTCGGCATATTTTCAACAGGATTTTTAATAAAATTTAATATAGTTTTGCCGTGGTTTCAGCAATTACTAAGGAGGTTTCGCCCAGAACCTTACTTCCCACACACTCCACTTTCCTCATCTAATTTCTTAACTAACTTCCCACACTCCTCACATCTAACTCATTTGGTCTCTGGCTCAAGGATGAAAAAATTTTCAACAAAATGAACATTTGACAAAAACATTTGACAAAATGAACTTTTGATGAAACAAACTTTTGACAAAATGGGTGTTGACATAATGATTGTTGACAAAATAATTTTCGACAAAGTAAGCATGACCATTAGATGTAATTCTGGTTTTGCAAATTCACATTTTTCTCTTCCCAATTTAAGATCTACTGTTCTTAATTTATCGAAGACTTTCCTCAAGTGTTGTAAGTGTTCTTCAAATGTATTTGAATATATAGTTATGTCATCAACATCCGGAAAATATAAAAAAATTTACACATGTCAATTGTAAGTTTAATAATAAAAAAGTGTAAAACTTACGTCGGCACTGTAAGATTTACACAATATTACGTCGGCATCATAAGATTTATGCAAGTTTATGCTAAATTAATTTCCTGATGAAAGTATACATTTACAAATTTTCCTTTGTAGTCTTTAAAAACTCAGTCCATCATTCTTTGAAATGCTGCTGGCACATTGGTTAGTCCAAATGGCATTACTGTGAATTCATATAATCCATCTTCTGTAATGAAAGCTGTCTTCTCTTGATCTTCCTCAGTAACTTTCATTTGCCAATATCTGCTCATACAATCCAACATAGTAAACCATTTGGCTCCTACCATTGTATCAAATATGACATTAATCATTGGTAGAGGATATTCATCCTGTTTGGTTTTCTCATTTAACTTCTTATAGTCCACACATAACCTTAACTTGCCATTCTTCTTTTTCACAACTATTACTGGGGATGTCCATGTGTTGTTGGATTCCTAACAATCCCAGCATTGATCATCCTTTCAACTTCCTCCCTTATGAAGGTTCTTTTTTCCCTGTCATCTCTATAGGGTCTATTTTTAATGGGCCATTCACATGTGGTAGGTATGTAGTGCTCATATTCTTTTATTCATCCTAATTCCAAGAGGTCTTCTGCAAACCTATCTTTATATTCACTTATGAATTTATCCAGCTGTTGTTCTTGTTTTGGTGTTAGATTGGATTCTCCTTTAATGGTCAGTACTGGTGCTTCCTTTCATTCTCCTCCCATGCCCTTTACAAAATATGCTGCTTCCTCCTGTAATACTTCATCTTCATATAGTTCATTTCCCTCAAGTATTACTTCCTTTGGCTCTTTTTCAAATAAAATTGGGTATTGTATAGCTTTACCGTTTTCCTTAGCTTCAAGTATCTTCTTTTTAAAATTAATGGCAGCTAAGCCAATTATTTCCTAATATCACATTATGGTTATCTGCTTTTAATACTACCATGTCTATGTTTATTGGTCTTTTCCCATTAAGGGTTACTAATATTCCTTTGGCTATTCCCAATGGTCTTGTTTTATTTCCATTTACATCTATTAGCTGGGAGTAGAATTCTTGGTCAATCCCTCCCTATAAAACATTTGGCATGGAGATGTATGTAAAATTGTACGGAATTTGCATGGAATTTTACCTGAAATTTGCATTTTTCCATACATTTTCCATACCAAATTTTTTATAGGGCCTTTTCCCAACCTATCTAAATATTGTTTTGTAATAACACTCAGCCCTGATCCTGTATCAATCACAACTTCTGTTTCTATATTATTTATGAGGACTTTGCTAGTTATGGCATCTATCTTCTTATCTGGGGCTTTCTTTTCTTCCAAAGCACCTCCAGGGGTGAATTTACTCTTTTAAAGTTTCGAGCTTGGAAGTTAGCTGGTGCACAGCTGTGGTTAAAGCTCTAAATACATCTGTTTGTGGCTGTTGTTGTTGTATAGGTTGTTATGGTGGCAATTGTTGTTGGTAGTTTTGTATAGGTGGTTGATTTTGGTAGTATACCATTTGTGGCTGATATTCAGTATAATATTGTGGTTCCTGTTGCTCTTTGTAATATTCCTGATTCAATAGGACCCTTCTAGGCTGTTGTTGGTTATTATTTGTCCTTTGCTGGTAGTTCCTTCCTTGTTGCTGTGATAGTTGCTCTCTTTGTACTACTGCCACTGGTTACCATCAGCATTGGGTTGATATATGACCTTCTTTCCCATAATTATAACATTTTACCGATTTGCTTTTCTCTGGGAAATTCCTAGTCCAATGTCCCATTTTATTACAGTAATAACATTCCCTTGCTGCTCATTACTTTTCCTATTTGGCCATTGGTTCATGGCTCACTGAGTACAGTTTACAGCTTCATGCCCTAGCTGATTACAAAGGTTACATTTCCGACCTTCCCTAATCTCCATGGCTAAAGCGTTCACATTCTGTCCCAATTGTGTTACTTGATTAGCTACCAAGGTGTTGATGTGTTGCAGATTGTCATTATTAAAGGGGTTATCCTTTCTTAAGGTACTTTCTACCTTCTTTGCTTGTTCCCAAGCTTCTCTAAAACCCCTTGGTATTGCTAACTCTGTAAACATTCTTATTTGGGTTGGTAGTCCATTTAGGAATGCCTGTAGCTTGTCACTTTCTGGATTAAAGATGTTAGCCAAAATTATTTCACTTAGTAAATGATTGTCACCGAATCCAAAATGCTGAAATATTTTTTCATAGTTGCCAAAATTAACTTTATTAATTGCCGAAATTATACTCAAAACTATTTGAACACTATAACTCAATAGCCAAAATTCTGGGTAGTTTTTTTATGTCCATCATTATGAAAATATTGTAAATCCGAAATTGCCTGCCAAAATTGATTTTTTCAAAAACCATTTCGGCTAACATCTTTATTCTGGATATTGTCCAAGTGGATCTATGGTTGCTTGCCAAAACTCCACTGGAAATCAATCGACAGAGTTTCAGCAGGTAACACACTAACTGTTTGTTAGAATTTCAGCAGAGTTTCACATTTAGGGATTTCAACAATTAGCAGAGTTTTGGCAAGTAACACACTAATTGTTTATTAGAGTTTTGGCAGTGATTAAAAGGCTTCGGCAAGCAATTTTAAGTGGATCTGCTTTCATGTATAATTTAGTTAAAGCTCCTGCATAGGAATCTACAGTTTCCCCTTCTTTCATTCATCGATTTCTTGGCTCATTCATCCATTTTTGTTGGTGTTGTGATTAAGGTTTCCGGCCAAAACTGCTTCTATTAGTAGCCGAAATTGCCCAAATACTTTGGGCAAAAATTATTGTTTTATAAGACCAAACTACTTTTTGTTATTAGCAGAAATTGGTGGAATTATTTTAAAGTTTTTAAGTTAAAACAAGTTGATTCATATAGTTTTTTAATGTTCATGCTTATAAAAAATGTTGAGAAACCCAAATTGCCCAAATTAGTTGGCTTTGAGAAAACAGTTTGGACCATAAACCTTAGTTGTGATGTGCTGAAATAGTCAAAAAATTGCTTTCTAAAACTAACTGTTTCTTCATATGTTCCTGGCCATCTATCCCACTTAGTGCGGACTATAACCCACCCGAAAATGACGAGCATTTTGCATTTGCCTCGTCATTCGAGTGACGTACGTTTTGCATTTGCCTCGTCATTCGAATGACGTACGTTTTGCATTTGCCTCATCATTCGAGTGACGAACGTTTTGCGTTTGCCTCGTCATTCGAGTGACGAACATTTTGCATTTGCCTCGTCATTCGAATGACGTACGTTTTGCATTTGCCTCGTCAAAGATGAGGCACGTAGTGCCGAATCGTTATCCTATTTGGAAACGTGAGGATGAGGCACATAGTGCCAAATCGTTATCCTATTTGGAAACGCGAGGATGAGGCACGTAGTGCCAAATCGTTATCGTATTTGGTAACCCAAGGATGAGGCACATAGTGCCGAATCGTTATCCTATTTGGTAACCCGAGGATGAGGCACGTAGTGCCGAATTGTTAACATATCTGGTAATACACCAAAGCATCCAATGATGAGGCACGTAGTGCCGAATGGTTATCCTTACTTGGTGATACGTAAAAGCAAAAATTTATCTTATCTCTTTCCTTATAATATTCTGCCTTTGCGTATCTGAAATTTTTGTCATGAGCTGTAACTAGATGTCACTAGTTGTTTGCAGGTACTTGTGACAGAACTTGTGACAGTTGTTTGAGAGTTTTGAGCCTTCTCGTTTCTCTCTTGATTACTTATTTATATCTGTCACAAGTTACTTAAGTAAACTAGTAGAATTCTAAGGGAAAAAAAAAAACTTTCCTATGGTATACCTATAAGACATATACCTGATACCAACCCATGTTATATGTACTATATCTAATTGCAAAGCAATGGGCTTCGCCCTTACCCGATACTTACCTATGATATATACCTATGATATATACCTATGATATATTCCCAATACCTACATATGTTATATGCGCATATACCTCAATATATACCTATGTTATATACCCAATATGTATACCTACCTTTGATACATATACATATGGTGTACCCATAGAAAAAAAAATAAGGTAGGAATCGAAAAATCAACCTAAGTAACTTGTGACAGTTGTGACAGTTATCGAGAACAGTTTTTTTCGAACTCAGACTCTCAAGAACACACCTTTCTACTGATTTTTTTACTTGTGACGAACTCGTGACAACTTGTGACAGCCAATATCACTATGTATTTTCTCCAAGTGCTTCTGATTTTTGTGACATCTTCTCCAGCTTCTTCTGTTGATTATACTCTCTTCTACGATGTTTCTGTGCATGGGGGTCACAATAACCATAATCGGAATAAGTTAACTTAACACAACCATATTCTTTACAAGGGTAACGAATAGGTGAATCCCGGTGAACTTTGCACCCATTGGGATGGTAACATGACCGATTACAGACTTCTCCAGTTCTAAGGATATAGGGACAACGATAAAATGCCATTCTTTTTGATGTTTATCTTGATTGAGTATATAATATGTACTGATCAATATTCTTTAGAATTAATTTTCATTTTGAACTTTTTAATTCCGAATATTATACTTTCAGAAAAAACATGAGTACCCAAAGTGAACATAGCATGCCTATTGTACCTGTATCATCCGATATACCAACTGTGGAAAACCAAAATTTCCAAGAAAACATCAATCATGCGCCAACAGAGGCGGAAGTATCACTTTCTCGACCAGAGAGCCCAGAAATTGCTGAAAATTTCGAGCCAGAGTTAGAGGCAGAAAATAACAGGGCGTTCTACCACTGGGGGTTTAAAGCCGAAAGTGTGGCTGAATATATGTATAAAATTCGTGACGATAGTGTAAAGCCAAGACAATTCTTAGGGACGGATACCGAAGATGGGATAGAAGCTATATTTAATGAACGACAAGGACATTCATTACACGAATTCATTGATGGGGACGATCCACTTCGCCCCTTCATTGATTTTGATTTGCCCCAAGAAACGTTAAATAATATCGAACCAAAGCTCACACGTAAACAAGTTTATTATGCCCTAATTGGAGCTTTTAGAGGTACTTGTATTGAGATTTATAAAGACTGGGATATTAAAACCTTAACTGTAACCAGTAGTAGCGACCAGAAAAAAATGTCATATCATATATCAACATTTGGTCTACGACTCAAAAATATTGCCAAAGTTGCTTCTTTTGTTGATCTCGTCAGTAAGAAGCTCCCAGTAAGTTTACAAGCTGAGGGTATTGTCAATAAAATTGCAAATAAAAGTGCATTCTCCTTGCGAATGCTTGGAACCCCAAAGGTGGTCGAAATAAAATGTGAGAAAACTGATGAAAAAACTTATAAACATGTTCGCCCAAAGAGAGCTGTTATACCCGAAGATGGTACAATTTTTGACTTTATGCTTCGCCCACCTAACGATGATGCACCAGTTATAGATAGCCCAATGTTAGACGTTCCAGACCCTAAAACATCGAATAATTGTAGGTCCATAGACCATGCTTCGCATAAAAGTGATGCAGGAACATTCGGATCTGAAATAGAATTTATAGAAAGATTGCTTGAAGAATATAAAATAGAAGGTTATGAAGTTTTGTACCCTTCACCTGCACTTCCAGACATTTTTCCTCTAAACCGTACATCTATATCTGATTGTCCACTTTGTAAACGAGAGCACACTAGTGATAATGCATATGTGATCAGAAATAAAAAAACTTACCGCTACTATTGTCATCGTTCAGATCAAGAAACATCCACAGGTACGAGAAAACCATCGTTGGAACTTATCGTTAAAAAATCAATCGAAGATCGAGAAAAAAACCTCCCCAAACTTGTAAAATTAGAGCAATCTAGAATTTCCGATCCCAATGATCATTTTGTATGGGGTGACTTACTGGATATGTGTGCATCAAATAAAAAATTTTCTCGTGACGAAGTATATGAAGCAATTCAAGCAACAGTTGCCTGTGTTGATGATGGCTCGGAAACATGGTTATTTAAAGTTGAACATCCAGAAGATGGACTTTATTTTAATATGAAATCCAAACTTAGTCTTGCTAAATATGAAATCAACATAATCGAACTAGGCGGAGAATTGGTAAAATTAAGTTCATTGATACAACGAGCTTTTACTAATAACCTAATTCGATATCGCATTATCAACTTTCACCCATACCCACCAAATGTGAACCCGCCAAAGACGAATTTCTTCAATCTCTTCTTGGGATTTCTAGCTAAGCCGGCAAAAGAGATTAATACCAAGATCATGAATCCTATCCTCTGGCATGTAAAATATGTGATCTGTAACGGGAATGAGGAACTTAATAAATATATTTGGAACTGGTGGGCATTTTTAGTACAAAGACCGGAGAAGAAACCTCGCTCAATTCTAGTATTAAAATCTGCACTTCAACAGTGTGGAAAAAATATTATTACTGATTTTATTGGTGATAAGGTATTAGGACCAAATCTCCATTACGCGACTTCCGATCTGGGGAAAATTCTTGGAAAATTTAATAGTCTTATTCAAGGCAAAAAGCTTGTAGTTATGAATGAAACTAGTATGTCTAGTGGGGAATGGCATAGATTCAATGGTCATCTCAAATCTCTTATAACGGAAGGAAGAGTATCTATAGAACGAAAAGGTCTAGAACCTTTAAGATTAAATGATTTCAGTGGGTTTATGATTACAAGTAACCAGGATACCCCTATCAAAATAGATGCTGGCGATGCCCGCGTAGTTTGTTTTGACGTATCTCCACGTT